GTCATTACACCACATCCGCCTCCAATACAAATCTTAGACGAATGATAGGGTTCAGTTCATATGGATCAGCTTGAGCCATGGACTACTGCAGTAGCGGCGTCCTTCCAACCATCCGTTACGTCTTCCCGTCCATTCGATAGCCCATTTCAAAATGAGCAGTGATGACTTGAACCACAACAATTCTGCCTTTTAGGCGAAGCACTCCTTCACACATATACAACATCAGCCGACTTGCTAGGGTATCTTTCCCTCTAGTTTGCGTAGCTAATTCTCCAATGTCGGCAAGGGGAGAACCTGTTACTGGTCCGAAACCAGCATGAGCATCAAACCAAGGGCGAAGCCTTACAAGCATTAGATTACAGGTGAACCAAGCCGCTCACAGGCACCATCGCTCAATTCTTTTCGCGATTTCCTTTTATCTGCTTTTTCCAACGATAACGTAAAAATGTTCTTTGTTAACGTAAAAAAATGTGTAAAGTTCGGGGCACAAATTAACAAGATATCTTGATTTTTAATGCCTTTTAAGGGAATTTGAAAAATGAGGAACACCCCAGTTCAGGGCCGAGCCTATCCTGAGGCATCCTTTTTTTCTATCTGGAAAAGAAAAACATCGCTAGAGTTCTGAGCGATGTTTTTCTTTTCCAGATAAAAAAAGGATGCCTCAGAATAAGCAGACCTGAGCCATATTTTTCCAAAAATAAATAAATCTGTGATATTTACTCACAAAACTGCTAGAAAAAAGTTGTAAACTAATTTGATCCCTTCCACTTTGTGCTATCTCTTCTCTAAGTGGCGGTCAACAAAAGATTGGTCAGTAAACTGTTCACCAAGTTCATGGGCATCTGGACATACATAAGTCAGATGCACATTGAAAAGCTCTGATAGCTACAAATACAGTTGTGAACCCCTGGCAAAAAGAGCTCATCAAGACCCGGTAGTCCACCTTCCTCAATTCCGGAGAGTCCCTGACCTTGAGACAAGGGATGGCCATTCAGCTCAGCAGCTTTCTCTGACGGTCACCCATACAGCCTGTCCCTGTACAGCTTGATTACCACGACAATCGCTCTTCGAAAAATTCGTATCAAAAAAGAATACAAGGCGCACACTGGAGCACTGAACGCTCTCAGACCTTTGTTGCTAAGTGTCGAGCGAGAGTTATTGGTTCTATAATCGTGCAATGCGGTTTCTGGCGCTTCCATCAGGATTCTATTCTACCGTAATAATACCTAAATTTCCACAAATCAGGCCTACTCCCTGCATCTGGCTATCGCGTAATATTCTTCCAGAGCTACCGACTGGCCCTTCCACGAACGCAAGCAGGTTCGCTACTTTGGGCTATCTGAAGAATCGTTAATAGCCGGTTATGGAAATTCTGAAAAAACCGTGTGACTATCGTTTCTGCAAAGGCATCACTTAGCAACCAGTTGACGATGATGATTGTCAGCCGAAAACGAGTTTCGACGCATTGATCTCCGAGTTACTCACTACTTTTCAGGTTGTGTTGTTAATGGTTGTAGAAAACGATGATGTTCTTGAAGTAGAGAAGGTGTAATGGCAAGAGGCGTCGTTATCAACTACAGGATCTGTTGACATACCAAAATTAACAAGCACCTTCCTTTCATAGCATAACAATATTGACAAATGCACAGGTTGGTTATAAGAGGCATGTACTTCCCCATGGGGCCAAAGTAATTAGAACGAAATCTCCCAAGTCAAAAATGTGAATCAAAAAACTCGTCCAACCATGGTTCCTACCCAAACTGTAGAAGAGTAAAGAAAACAATGTGCACAAAGGAGACTGCTTGTAAGGAATTCTGGCAGTCACCTTTGTTCACCATGTTTGTGGTTATCGTTGCTTCATGTGCGGTATATTCTTAGAGACAGACGAGACTACTTCTACGTAGGCATTCCGCTAAGGTCCCACTTATATTGATCATACCAATCCCAACGCCCACGCTAGTGCCAGAATGATTTGGGAGAGCAGGAACACTAATGATCTGCACATCTACTGGCTTCGGTAGACTATTCTATGGTTTATGAGGGTCCAGATGGATCGCTAGTGGGGCAGGAGTAAATGGACGAATTCAGAAGCACGATATCTCACACACCAAGGGTTCAATACTTTACATCCAGATCTGCCTATCTTTGACTGTTGTCTACACTACAGCATATTAAGCCATTCCATGATTAACAGCACCACCTGGTAACAAAAGGTGATAACCGGATAACTGCGTGGGTCGCACACACATATCCAACCATTTCCCTTATTCGAAGTGAAAGCCTGAAGCATGGCGCATCTTAAAAGGACTAATCCACCTTTGTTGTTTACTATGTTGATTTTGGTGTCATTATGACGTCATTCACACAGATACTGGATTGAATCATATCAATTGTGTCAGAAGAAGCATCGAAAAACCTGTATGGTCTCATTAGCATCTCGGAGCCTATTCTCTATCTCTCCCTCCCCATTTTCTAACCAGTCTTTCGAGTATCTCGCTTGATTATGGCCGCAAGCAGCTCATGACATCGTATCAACTGCATCGATCCAATCACTCGATCTTCTGTTTATTACCGATCACTTCCTACTAACTCTAGCTATTTATCTATTTATTTGTAAATGTATATATGGTCAAAAGGAGGAGTAACAGTAGCCCAGGAAGGGAACATCCAAAGATATTGGCAAATTAATTTGTATATAATTAAAGTATATTGCGATCGTTACAGAGATACACCTATAAGGGAAAATAACTGGTTCCAAATATAATGTGCCTTACAATTTTAAAACACATTTGTGAACAATGTTCATCGCTCAGCCCACCAAATTTCCAGAGAATCTCCTCTGGCTTCAGACCCTGACTCTTGGGCCCTTTACTGACATTTTCCACTTCTTCTTTTTACACTGGATATAAACCAACGAAGGACATAAGCCGATCGATAGCCAAAAATGAAAAGAAAAAGATCTGAAAAACAGTGAAACGGAGACAGACCCCCGAATCAACCGAAAGAACATTCCCAAATGGATTAGATCTGCAGACGGTGCAGTTTCTATCTATCTCAATCTGGTTATCTTGTGGGGAAATCTACTCTTTCCACTTCGTCTACATCTTCAGCAATGTTTTTTTATGTTATAAAAAACGATTGCCGTCATAGATCGCTTTGTTCCCCTCTATTATCAAGGTGTATGATCTGTTTCGATACAAAGCGCTCCACCTCTTGCGTATGTTGACCCCTTTCCAAATCTCCTCATTTGACAGTGTACAAGCTGTTGTTTGCTGGACGATTCCTTGAGCTTCGGAGGGTCTTTCTGGCCAAGCCTCGTCTCTTTCAGGCTCCACTATTCCCAGTTACTCCATCAGTTTTTCATTTCTTTCTATTTTCCAAAAGAATGCTCGAGTAGCATCATACCTCGACCGCACTCCACCTCTACCGATAGGTGGTAAAACGGTTTAGCCCAGGAGTGTCACCTTGTTTTCCTCGTGTTTTCATTTACTGCTTCCTATCGCGGACCGTCTAAGACACCACGCTTCGGAGCTTTTGATCATCCTAATAAACACCTACTGCGCCAGAACTTGTAGGGGATTTCTTGATGAATTTACTAATTGTATCTCTCACATTTCTTTCCTCTCGAGATAGGATTCATCTATGAACGTGTTATATTACCTTTCGACAATCATCTTGCGGCGCATTTTGGTACGTAAATAAATAAATAAACAAAAAATTAATAAAGTCATAGATAAATAAAAGCGAACCTGGAATTCAGTCTCATAAGCGGAAGTCAAACTTCTCAGACAAGTTTTCATGACCCAAACAATTTCACGTCGAAATAACGTTCACGGCGCCATCCGGAATGAATATTCGGCGTCAGCTACCTATAAGATACATTGTTATTTGGTTCTTCTTGGCTAAGTAAGCGCTGAACAGAATAAATTCCTTTGATTCTGGGTTGATACTAGTGGCCCATGTGAGTAGAATGCTGACGTTAGGAAGTTTTCTCATCCCAACTCAAAGTCGAAGGTAATAACTGGTAATCCCAGCGGTAGCAAACATTGATACTCCGACTGTTCTGTTGGTGGCGAACTTGCCAAAAGGACGAGTACTCTGACTCATTTCAAACTAATCCTCCTTTTTCCCTTTTGTCATTCAGAGGATAAAATCGTTGAGCCTCCATTACGACTCGGAATGGATGTCGAACGCATAGTGCATCGTAAAAAGCATTAGATTGAAATTCAACCCCTCCTAAACCCTACATTTTCTGCTCATTTCCTATTCCCAGTGCCCTGTTCTGGTGTTTCACCATTTTTGAGAGCATCTGCGAACCTTTGCCTAACTTTTTGGAGGAAACTTTTCAAAAAATGTTTCTCATTTCCAGAATGACTATACATTCTTCTTCTCGGGCAGCTGATCCAATTTCACCTGCTGAACAGGAGACAATCGATGTTCTTCGGTCTAGGTATGGCGATTATTTTCACTGAGGGAATTTATTCAAAACTAATAGAAGCATTTACAGTTTCACTCTGCAAATTTGCTTCGCTATATAGATTTATTTTTATTGTTTTCTAGCAAGTATTTCTGCTAGTTCTGCTTTTATGATTTTGATTTACTACCTCTAATTTTCCACTACTATCTACATTTACTCACTTCTCTACAATGAATAGACTTGAGTTCAAGTTTTGTTTCTATGTTTTGCCGTGTTTTTGAACATTTGAACACCGTACCATGATGATTATATAATGAAAAGACAANTTGCTTCGCTATATAGATTTATTTTTATTGTTTTCTAGCAAGTATTTCTGCTAGTTCTGCTTCTATGATTTTGATTTACCACCTCTAATTTTCCACTACTATCTGGAATTAATTTTACTCATTTCTCTACAATGAATAGACTTGAGTTCAAGTTTTGTTTCTATGTTTTGCCGTGTTTTTGAACATTTGAACACCGTACCATGATGATTATATAATGAAAAGACAAAATTGCCAAAGAAAAAGTGAAGAACTTCTAAGGTCTCACTTGATTTTGAAGCCCATTATCGTAGGCTTAGGCTTAGTCGAGCTTAGTTTATACAGAAGTCAGTAGTTTGAATCGATATTGATCGAAATCATTCGGATCCGTTCTTGCACGATGCCTTAACTTCCCGAACGTGGCCATTATTTTTGCTCTTCGGCGTACGCTTCTCCCACCTTGAACATCTTACAAACTGACGTCTACATCTATCTAAACGTTTCCAGTCACTATCAACAGAAGACATCGCGGATACAAAAATGGGCCTCTTCTTCCGTCTACACTGTCCTTGACTATGCACCGTCTTAGAAATAGTTGGCCTCACTTCAAACGAGGGAGAGGGCAGGGGGTGGTGGGAAGGAACATGTACCAAGTGGATACTAGCAGCCTTAATGCCTTTCAAGAATAACCTTTCCTGAAGAATACTTACGCCCTCCTGGACGTTCTTGTTTACCGCTTCAGAACTGCCCCCTGAATCCATCGAGTGTTTTACCTAATCTTTGAAAAATTTACCACGTAAAAGTGCAGTCGTCCACCAATACTTGTTTCTGCTCCCAAAACAACTCTGCAATGAGTTTATCCACCAGTTCCACCTGTCTTTCGATGTTCTTGCTATTTTTCACCCCTGTTGTCTGGGGTGAAAGAACATTTGTCTGCAAGGCGGTTCTGTTCCATCGACGAGATGGAAGACTTGACGATAAGGTGGCATCGAGCATTAAAACTGCCCTCTGCAAAAATGCGTCGTCCGAAATGGCGATTGTCGGGGAGGNATCTAATGTTACCAATAAATGAATAATCAAAAGAGGTTATTGGAACATCTTGAAAACATGGGCAACTGATTTTTGAGGTTGGCTTTGAAAGTATATTTTTGAATACATTCATAGTAAGTATTATCAGAATGCTGGCCTGAAAGACAGAGCTGCTTTACCTTCCAGGCTGAACGAATGCATGAAAAAAATCCCCGATGATCTCGACACCGATCTGAACCTAGTGCGATGGATCCGTGGTCATCAAGGGAACCTCGACAAAATATGCACGGTAAATTTAACGATTCAGAATTATGATACTTTCTTCAGTAATTTTGATGAGCTCACTGAAACCGTATGGTTATATGTACCAAGCGCGAAAATCTATATTGAGTTCGTAGCAGATATTGCTTCTCGGTGAAAGTGCTCGGGAAGGTCTTCCTAGTCAATAAAGTTCAGTGCTGCAGTGGTGTCCCCTCATAGTGGACGCTCACATAAAACATCTACGCTCTCGCAGCCTTTCTCCCATCATGTTTCTAACTTTACCTTTCTAATAACCAGTCGTTAAAGTAGCCTAAAGTTACCGTCCTCAGCGGGGTCAACGGGAAACCAGTTTGTTGGTTAAAGTAGAAAACGGCAAAGCACAACCATATCATCAGTAAAATCAGATAGACATTGCTGTACTAACAATAAGTAATGCTGCTGATGTGAACATGGTCAGAAGATGAAGTCACCTTGTCAGCCATGAGTTTTGCCCGCCCTACGTTTCAATCGGATGAATGAAAAGTGTAAATGGTTATCAGTTCATCTCACTGATTATTGCATAAGCTGAATACTCATTCAATTACTACTTGTATTCTAAATATGGGCCGGATTCGTGGATCGTCCCAAAAAGATATTAGGTAAAAATGTTCTCCTGAACTCCACATTGAGCGTTCCTCTTTGAATGTATTGCTTACAGGTCTTGATTGAATTTGAATTCAGAATTTCACCCAGTACGTGAGCTCACGAAAGGCTGCTGGATTCCTTGGACGTGACCTCCCGGAAAGGTAAACAAATTTTTAGTAAATGTTATTATTTTTATCAAGTTCAAAATCATCAAATTGTTTATGGAGCCATCAGATTATAGTTACTTACGTCAAGGAGTTGATTTTCTTGAAATTCACCTCCAAAAATAAACAAATAAATTTTAAATTGAGTAAAATATAATCGATTTCGAATCAGTCAATGACCTGTTTTCAGGTACTTCGAAATGCCACAAATCAAACCTTTTCTTCCGTTTATCGCATCATCTCGCCTAGCTGATACAGTATGGTCTGAAGAACACAATGCTTTCATGTTCGTTGAACGAGCATGGGCTCAGCCAAAGGAGGTACGCAATTGACTTGCACATTACAATTTTTCACATGATTAATTTTACTTTATTGTTTTTTATTTTTGTATAATTTTTAAAAATTCTGAGATAGAGACTTTCTTTGATGCCAAAATCAAATTTTTTGTAGTTCATCAAGACATTCAAGGCCAGCGATTACTTGATACATTGTTTTGGCTATTCGGAATTGTTACTGCAGCTCATGCTGGAGTGAGTTGATTGTTTTTTTTATTGAATTTTATTTGTGATTCGCCCTTGGCATCATCAATTGGAAGAAGTATAAAATGAGTAATCATGATGTAGGAAAGTGATAACGCGCGTCTATCCTCCCTTCGTGTTAAACCTGACCTCTTCGCACCTCTCCCGAATTCGGATGCTCAAAAACAGGAGAACAAGGGTTATGAATTTTTGGCTAAATACAACACACTCATATATATATGTATATATACATATATATTTACATATTCACACAACATACACATACTTACATACTTCTTGAACGCCTAACCCGTCGAAGGCCTGCTCA